GGGCCTCATCATTACAGATGTTGGATAACCAGAATATGAGTTTGTGTAAATTGGCCGAAAATAATAGTATAAAAAATTTGGCATTGCCAATCCATACTATTCCTTTTTTCTTTTCAAGAATTACTTTCTTTTGCGAGGAATTTTCTTATCCCAGAGAAATGTAGAAATACAATTATTTAACTCCTTGAAAAATGACTTGGGAATAAAAACAGGCACGGACTGAAACAGAAATCTTGGTAGTATTGTCATTTTAATGAAATTGATCATCCTAGTCAAAAGATAAAGGAAGGGTTGACCACATCGTCATGTCTCGTTTGGCTTTGTCAAGACGACGACAAGGTTTGTTTGAGCTTGGGTCATCCATGGCTCGTTGTTATTATATGCATATAGTATATCCATGTAATTTCTTGGCTGTGTATTAGAACATGGCGGATCCTTTGTTTACATTCTGTCTAGCTCCATGAGCTCGTGACGTATCTCTGTAACCAATTAGCGTTCGGCTGTGCGTGTAGCTCCACCTTTTGGTACCCTTTCTTGTTTTTGGTTACCCTTTCGAAAGAGTGTTGAAAAAGTGGTACGGTACCGAACCGTACCACTCAGTGGAAACGGGCCATAAGCTGACTGGTCGATAAGATCCACATTTAAGTGGATCCTTATCCTTTTTAAGAAGTACTGTTATAATAGCCGATGTCATGGAGGGGGTGAGTGATTCCAAGACAAGAGCTTCAGCAAATACCTTGCACAACAGGGGTGTTAGCTTAGCAGTAAACTTCTTATAAAACTTGGAAGGGAAGCCATCGGGGCCTGGTGCTTTTCCGGTTTTCGTTTTTTTATTGCATTTTCAATTTCAGAAGGTGTTATATTTCCTTCTAATGCCAACTGATCTGAATCAGAGGGATGGCAATTCTAAATAATTAAAAAGCTCTCAATATGTTCAATTTCGTTTACCTCAGAGCTGTAAAGAGTTTTATAGAAGTTTTTTAATGGTCATTTATTCCCTGTTGATCAGTAATAATACTGCCATCATCCTTACTAACTGCTGCTATAAAACCAGCTGCTGATTGTGTCAGTTGGTAACACAATAACCTGCCAGCTCGTTCACCATGTGCATTATGAATCTGGCGTGATCTTATGTGGAGATCCTCTGCATTTTCACTTGTCAAGGAGTCATATTCCACTTGTAGAAGAAGTCTTTTCTTATGGAGCTCTTCGGACGGTGATGTTGAGAGTAGCTGATCAATTGTATTAATTTTATTCATAATCTCTGTAAGCCGTTTTGACTTTCTTTTATTTTCACTAGCTTGATATGAAATAATCTGTCCTCTTATATATGCTTTCTGAGTATCCCATAGGATGCTATAACTTATCTCCGGGATTCGTTTGTCTCAAGGAAGAAATCAAGAATCAATTTGAGCATCAATAAATTTTACAAAATCATCGTCTGCCAAAATCATCGTTCACCATGAACTTCCTAACTGCATCAGAACGGCAGTCACTTGCTGTCTTCAAGAAACGACTAAAAACTCAACTATTTAGTCTCCATTTCAATTCCTAATCTGCAATTGCCTCTCTAGCTATACCACTAACTGTACAAAAAAATATTAATAATAAATAAAAAAAACATATATATATATATATATATATATATATATATATATATATATATATATATATATATATTCTTACATTAATAATGCTTTCCTTCTTAGACTTTACACACCTGAAACTTGCCTACAGCACTTCTTTGCTCTTATAGTTGTGTAAATTACTTCCTTGTCCTCATTTGTAAGTCACTATGGATAAAAGCATCTGCTAAATGACTAAATGTAAAACTGTACATTCTTATGTATTAGTTCAGCAACACCCCTACTTTTGCTATTGAAGTTAGAATAATATATCTTTGTGTATAGCCTCCTCTATTAAGTTTAGAATAGTCTTTTTTTAACAGATGTGTCTCCTGTAAATATACAATATCAGATTTTAATTCAAGATATGCGAACACTTTGTTTCGTTTCACTGGGTGATTTAGCCCCTGCACATTCCAACTGGTAAAGTTTGTCTTCACTTCACCTATTTTATGGAGGGTTGTCGAAAACATCAGAAACATCCGAAAGGTATCTGTGGGTTTTGTATGTAGGGGGATGTGTGGAAGAGAGAGGAAGGGAAAAAAAGAGAGAAATAATAAATAAGAAAAAAGGGGTGATTGCACACACACTTATAAACACAAAACAACACAATATTGAAACCTTGCATGTAAACTTGCACACACCTTCAGCTACTCACACTCTTTAACTAGCTGACATTTGTGGGACCTCACATATAAAACAAAACAATTTGAACAGCTCTTGATGTTTTACTAAAAAGCTACCACATTATTGACTAAATATACTTGAGAACTAGGAATAACAGCAACAAACATGCTATAGTGGTCATTTAAAACATAACTGCTGAGTGACATTAACATTTGTATTGTCTTTGACAGCCCAGTGTACTGTCGTGATTTCCTTCAATTTAATGGCTTTTTCAACCTATCCTATATTTCGGAAAAGTAGTGGCATTTAATCACGAGGGCGCGTGACGGCTCCTTGTTGTCCACTGGTTTGCTGCTTAGAGTGCGGTGTGCCCAGTCCAGAAGTGGAATCTTCTCAAGGTTCACGTTATCTTTCAAGAGGCCAGCTACAAATTCTGTCATGTATCTGCCGTGCTCCTCTTCTCTCTAACTCCTGTAATGTGGATATTTGAGTGGTGAGACCTCTCTTCAAGATCCTCGCTTCGGCCTCTCAGCAGAGCCAGCTCCTTTTTCAAGATACTAAACTCTTTCCAGTGTAGTAAGAGATTCAGAGTATCCACCCAACACAGACTCCAGACCAGATAGCTGCTTCCACTCTGTCGTTAATGTGCTCCACAGCATTGCCTAACTCTGTCCGAAGCTGGTCAATTTGATTCCAAAGTTCATTTGACTGTGCAACGGCCTTTTCTTCAATTTAAGCAATCAATCCACCCTTTAGTGCATCAATAGCTTGACGGACCACGCTGTTATCACTCGCCGGAGCTTTCTTAGATGCAGCTTGCTCTTCGAGGTTAGCATTAGCATAGAGGCTAGTAGCGGATTTAGCCTCCCTACAGTTGCTTCGGCCTATATTCATCCTGATTCAAGTTGAATTACGCTCAGAACAGCCTGACTCCGACACTGATAAACACTTAATTTCCAGTATAGGTAGGTTTAAGGTAACAGTATTTAGGAGAAGAGCAATATTAAACATTAAGTTTCACGTGAGGAACTCAACAGTTTGTGTCTTTACATGGTGCCACTCTAGCTGGAAGTCTAAAATAAACAATATAACAATAATCACAATGAAAAACAAAACACTCACCATTTATAACTCAAATGAAAGTGAAAGGAAAAAATGCAAATGATTTTAGGCCAGCAGATTCATCAGATTTGAAAATGGGGAAAAAATAATGAATAATAGTACAATGAAAAACAAAACAAGAGAAATAAAATGAGAATTTGGGGAAAGAAAAAAAAAATACCTTTTGCTTCTAACCAATGGAGTGAAGGGGTCAATGGAAATGAGAGGGGAATGGCAATGTGGAGGTGTGGATGTGAAGATTAAGGGCGTCTACGACCCCAGCCGCTACTGTCGGCTACTGACTTCATGCCAGTGAGATGAATCGGTAAGATGATTTTGTTCCAGACACACTGCTCTAAAGTCTTTGGTGACACACTCATTTACAGACATCACAAGCACTTCAGTAACAAGACACAGTGTTTCTCACAGCCAGTCGTTAAGTTTTTCACTGCTTGTCTCGACCCGGTTTCTCTACTCGTTTCCCCGCACTCCAACATTTCAGTTAACTTCTCTTTCTTCTGCACACCACACAATGCTGCCCTCTTTAACTCTCCTCCTCTTTCTTTATACTTTCACCCATTTTCTTTTGCCGTCCCATGGGTGGAGACCAATTAAACAATGTTGACTGTCATCACAGAAAACACCAACAATCATAAATGCATGATTATATGCTGTCATGGCTTTGCAATAAAAATGTTGTTATAATACAGGCCAATAGAGAAAAAAAACAGCCATGAATATAAAGAAAAGGGAGTAATTGCCCAGAGGGGAATTGAGTTTTTATTTTTTATTTCAAAGCATTTTCCCAAAATATGTCAAAGATAAGATGTCCCCAAATATTAGTCCGTGTGCTGAAACACAGAAAGTTTTGGCCAAATTAAGCCTCAAAATCATCCCAGAATGGATGAAAATAACCCAACAGCACACAAGGGGAAAGGTGCACATTCCAGCCTTTATGCAGATGCTGGACAGGTATGTCTCATGTCTGCGAGGCAAATATTCAGCTGTTTGGTCAGCTGTTACCCCAGAACGTTTTTTCTGATGCATTAACCAGTCAGGCACAGAATGAACAAGTATTCCCTGTCTGCTTAACACATAAAAAAAAAAAAAAAACATTTTGTTGTAATTGTGAATATTTACGAATAAAAATAGGCCATTTACAGCTTTCAAATCTGTGTCTTATCAATATGACCAAATTGACTTTTATGATCAATTATGTCAGAAAGTCTGAAAACTGGACTGACACAGTTACAATTTACTATAACTTCTATGTTAAGTGGCTTTGACATAATTTAGATTGTAGAAGCACTAGATAAATAAAGATGAATTGAATCTGCTTAAATGTGTACATTTTAATGGACCAAACAAAATATGATTTGATTTATTCCAAATTTAATGTGCATCAAAATTGCAGTGTGTGTAGCCAATGTTTCCAGTGTCTTCTCACTTTTCAGTATTTGATGAGAGTTTTTAAAACTAATGAAAACTTATGTTTTATTCATTTATTTCAGACCTAATTGAAGAGAATGGGGGGAGTAAAGAGGAGGAACATCATGTCAAAATTGAGGAAAAAACTCATTTACAGACTGATGGTATTTTAAAAAGGAGGGGCAAGAATCGTTTCACCTGCACTCAGTGTGGAAAGAGTTTTGGAAGAAAAGGCAATCTTAAGATTCACATGAGAATCCACACTGGAGAGAAACCGTTCACATGCATTCAGTGTGGAAAGAGTTTCATCCAATCATCATCCTTTAATCTACACATGAGATTTCACACTGGAGAAAAACCATTCACATGCACTCCGTGTAGGAAGAGATTCAGCAACTCATCAGACCTCAATAAACACATGAAGACCCACACTGGAGAGAAACCATTTACATGCACTCAGTGTGGGAAAAGTTTCAGCCGCTCATCACACCTTAAACAACACATGATGATCCACACTGGAGAGAAACCATTCACATGCACTCAGTGTGGGAAGAGTTTCAGCAACACATCAGACCTTAATAAACACATGAGGATCCACACTGGAGAGAAACCATTCACATGCACTCAGTGTGGGAAGAGTTTCAGCCGCTCATCAGACCTTAATAAACACATGAGGATCCACACTGGAGAGAAACCATTTACATGCACTCAGTGTGGGAAGAGTTTCAGCTGCTCATCACACCTTAATAAACACATGATGAGCCACACCATTCAGAGTAACCATTCATTTGCACTTAAGCCATGGTGACACTGGACTTTTCTCCCCATAGACATCAATTCATACACACGTGAATGCATCAGACGGGAAATGCAATTTTGTGCATCAAGTTTCGCAGTTCACTGCGTTGCAAAGTTTAAGCTTGGGGAACTCTGACCTGCCAAATCGCTTTACTTGACTTTGTGAGACCAATAGAAGATGGTTAACATGACCTCCCTGGACAGAAATGTAAAATATGGACCAATCGCTCACTTTTTTAATGCTTAATCATCTCGTTTAATCCCGCCCTTTTTCGCAGCGCCATACAACAGAATTTCGAAAGCTCAAATTCTAGTGTGACCGCAGCTTCGGTGTGGGATAAGTTTCAGCAACTCATCAGACCTTAATAAACACATGAAGACCCACACTGGAGAGAGACCATTTACATCCACTCAATGTGAGAAGAGTTTCAACCAGTTAGCAAAGCTTAATAAACACATGAAGATCCACACTGGTGTGAAAGAGTATATGTACTTTGCGTGTAAGAAGACTTTTATTACAGCTCCAAAATTGAAACTGCACCAGACGATTCACACTGAAGAGACCGTACAAGTGTTCACACTGTGACTAGAGGTTTAATCAGTTAACACTTCTGAAAACAGAAGCAGATTCACACTGGAGAGAAACTGTAAAGATCTGATTAGTGTCTACAGAGTTTGGACAAAACGTTTCACACATGACATGAATGCAGCAAAACATTTTCTCCTGTGTGTAGAGGTATGGATTTGTAGCAGTCATCTGTTTAATTTGATTTTTTATATATAGCTGTTATGTTTGCGTGGATTAGTCATTATTTAGTAAGATTGTTGCAATAAGTTCAGGTTAGTTTTAATGTGTTGATGCCCATCATCATTTTAATCTGTATGTACTGGCGAGTGACAATAGGGGACAATTAGTGAGCAACACGTGAGCCGAAGTAGGTTTCAAGCATTCATGAAGAAACCACACTGCCAGAACTGAACACATATCATAGCATCTCATTGTGTGTGTTTGTTTGGTTTTATTAGAGGTAAGATGTATGATGTTGCATCAAATGTTATGTTTAGTATGTGTTTAGCAGTGTAAATAATGTGTTTGAGGATCGTTTATGTATGTTTATATGTATAAAATAACCACATCAGCGTAATCGCGACAGACATGAGGCCGACGTCTGTAATGGAGATCGCAGTGATAGAGGCCTTGTGTTATTATATAAATATAATATACATATAAATATGATGTACATATAGATTAACAAGCTTTATTAAGTATGAGTTTACCTTTTAAAACAGTAGTGTGGGTTAATACAGTTATAATACATCAATGTTAAAGAGTATTTAAATAATAAAAGTAAACTATAAAGTAATTAGTAGATAATAAAGTTATTTAAAATAGTTACTGTTTGTTGTTTATGCAGTAAGAGTTTAGAGTTTAATGACTATTACTCTGGTATTGGTAATGTATATTGTGTGGAGAAATGCATCGAGTCAGTGTCTATTCATTGCCATTGTTTATTGATAATTCTATATTTGAGTGTTTATATAAGTGTTTCTGTGTTCATTGGTTTCACGCATGCATGAAGAAGCCACACTGCCAGCACTGAAACACTAAAACATCTCATTGTGTGTGTGTTTGTTTGGTTTTATTACAGATTGCAGTGTGACAAACAATAAAAATAATATTATGGTGGGACCAGAAAACCCCGCCTCTTCTGTGTGTGGCGAGCCAGCCAGGAGGATGCTGCTGATTGGATGATGTGAGAGACAGCTCCTCCTTATAATGAACCTAAAAACAAAGAAAGACATTGCAGTTACAGAAGAAAAAAAAAATTAGAATACAACTGAACTAGATTAAATTCATTGTCTATTCCCCATCAAAGAGAGAGATAAAAAAAAATTGAACAACTTCAAGACTGTGTCACTTTCAAGTTTTTGACAATAGAGAAGTCTGAACTGTTAAAGGGCCATGAAACCCTCTCGTTTCAGCAGGGTGTTTTCACACCTCTACTTTGGAAAAAGCCAGAAAAGTGGGCGTGTCCAGCTCTGTTTAGGGGGGAGTGTCGGAGAAAAAAAAAGAGGCACGGTGTGGGAGTGTCTATTTGGGCACTCGACTACATGGGCATCTGTTGTCGAATTATTTGCTAAATTATTAAATGGTGGACTTTAACTGTCTTTCATTCAGAGAATTCATTCATGTCCCTCGCGAAAAACGAGATATTTGATTCGAGGAACTGCTGTAAGCGTGTATTTTTCATGCAATGTTTGATACCGCACGGCGAATGAGAGAAAAAAAACTCCCGGCATTTCCCGGAAACTTTGATGCACTGGACAGGTAGCGTCAGAAAGCCGCTTGGGTTATTCCAGTCACAAAATGCGGTAAAAATCCTACATGAGGTTAAAGTTTGGTTGTAGTGCTTACATGTTTAGACTCTGTGCAATAGTTTGTTAGATACGAACAAACTGAATAAACAAAGAGCACTGGTCGCTCACTTACCAAATCTGTAGAGACAGGACAATCACCAGCAACTAGAGCCGCGTCTTTATTAAGAGGAGACTACAAGCGAATCCGGATCTCAGCGTTTGCAGATGAGAACAGCTCTCAGGTAAACAATAATCCTCCTTAGACACGTATTGTTGTCGAGCGTCGCGTACACTGTTAATCCACACGTGACTCTGAGCTCTCACAGAGAAAAAATGAAAACAAAACTTAACTGCAGCAAACTATAAAAGCAACACTTCACGCTTGTTTTGCCAACACAACGTGGCGTCTCTGTCGTCTAAACACTGTGACAGTAATGAATATTAATGAAGTTGCACAATAGAGCGCGCTGATTGGTTTGAACCAAGCCTTACTCATGCATTAATGCAGCATGCTGTAAGACGTAATAAGACACACTCTGGCACAGACGCCCAGTCTGCAAGCTGGAATACAGGCTATTATGTCATGACCGTGACGCAGCTTCAAAAATTTGTTTCAAACCGGAAGTACGAATTTGCTTGAAATAAAGCAAAAACAACCAATTTACACGTATTAGTGAAATATAGGTGTCCTAATAGTGTTTTTAGCAGTGTGGGACACATATACGACTGTCAACAGCTCAAAAAAATGTGTTTGGGTGTTTCGTGACCCTTTAAAAGTGTGCTACCACCTCAAGTGTAGTGCGCCAGCAGGTGAGGGTTTCTCAGGCCAAACGAGGCGGGCACTAATCAGACTAGCAGAGGGGACACTTAATGAAATAGAGGAAAGTTTAGAAGAGGAGCAGTATGTAGACAGTCTCAATATACTTCTGGATTTCATAGAGTCCCTAAAGAAACCAACTGAGCTCGAAGCTTCACCAGTTACTCTTTCTAACGCCCTATTCACACGGGGCGTCAGCGTCAACGCTTCCCATTCACTTTGAATGGGTGACGTCAGGCGTTGCCGAACTGCATTGTGGATCCGTCGGCGCCGCTTCAGAAGCGTTCCTCGCTGCAGAAGTTGGGACCAGCTCAACTTTTCAAGCGCCGACAGAAGCGTCAGCCAATCAGATCGCTGTATGCAAATACACCAGCTCAGACAGTGGCCTATTGCTGACTGAATTTCATTGGCTGACGCTTCTATGACGATCGTTTCAGCTCCAACTTCAGACACGCCCTCTGTCAAGCGTTGACGCTGAAGCCTCGTGTGAATAGGGCGTAAGAGGGAACAGCTAAGACAAGTGTATGCTGAATTACAACAGGCACAAGCAAATGCTCGTCGTGTGTTAGAGGAACAGATGGAGCAACTTGAAGTAAACTCTAAGGGGGAAAGTAATGAAAGAAATGATAAAGTACCAACCACACAACATGATCCAGTTCCTGAAGTTACTCTGAGGAGGGTATTTCGAGTCTTTGGACAGATTGGAGAGGCTGGACAGAAGGAAAAATTATCCTACACAATTCTCAACAACCAAATCAAATCAGGAGTGAGAAAGGGGTATGCAGAGGCTGAAATTATTGAAGCTGTCATCAGAGCTGTGAGTCCAAGCCTTCCTCTCCGAGAATGTCTTGAGATAAAACGAGACCTCACACTTTCCACATTAAGGACCATCCTCAGGGGGCACTATAAAATAGACTCATTATCCGATCTGCTGCACAGGCTCATGAACAGGGATACATATATAGGGATATCATCTCACAGGATCCCAAAGTGTCTGCTCAAAGTTTCCTGTTTCGAGCCATTGAACTGCTCTGGGCATCTGGAGATGAGCAGGATGGCAAACAGTTTAGCCCTGAGCTCATTCAACAAAAATGTCTTCGCTCTGTGGAAACTGGGCTCTTAAGTGATGCAGTTAAGTTTCAAGTTAAACCATACCTCAGTGATCCCAAAGTAATGGATGAAGTGCTAATTGAGAAAATCGGGGAAGCTGCTAATCTTGAATTGGAGAGACAAGCAAAGTTAAAAAAAAGTAGTGACACCAAAGCCTTTTAAACTGAGTGAAGTAGTAGAGTATGTTTGCGACACTGAGCGACATGTAAGCAGTGAAGTAGACTCTGAAAGTGAAAGGAGAGATACAGTGACCAAAGAGAATTTCCCTAGTAAAGATAAGAAGAAACAAGGACAGAGCAAAGATATTAACAGTAACACCACCAAATCAATTGAACAGCTCGGAGCAGACATCATGGAAATGACTAAAGTATTCAAAGAGACAATGGAAGCAACCAGACCCCAGTTTCAGCCTCCTGTCACCCTGATACAGATGGAAAAGAGGTTCAAAGGCTGTTTTTCACGTCAAGAGGCTCAGAAGGGTGAGGAATGCAGGCAGTTATTTCTGTGGCCAAGATGGACATCTGTCACGGGGCTGTCATCAACGCAGATTAATGTCGGGAAACAGGAGGGGACTGCTGAACTGGACCTCCCAGTAGTCCATATCGTCAATATCAGCTATCTCAGATGTGTGGTAGACACCTAGAATTGAACAGAGTGGGCAAACCAGTAAGTATAATGACATTGTTACTCACCAAGATGCAGCCAATTTGATTAGGAATTCACTGTGCACATCCATGCTGCTAAACATTGTTGGAAAAAGGTGTCTGTTCTGTTGTCAGCTAAATAACATCACAGTTGAAGCCTTATGAGACACAGGAGCCCAAGCTAGTATTATCAACGCTGACTGGAGAAAACAATACTTATCACACACCATTGTCAGACCAATTAAAGAGCTCCTGGGACCAGCAACACTCACTGGATTGGCTGCAAATCACACAGAAATCCCCTTTGATGGCTGGGTAGAAGTTAGCCTCTGACTGAGTAATATTGCAGGCCCCGAAGAAACCTTACAAGTGCCTATGCTGGTGGTGAGTAATGCTGGAGTAGCTGAAAATCCCATCATCGGTTACAATGTCATTGAGGAGATAATTGGCAGGTGGGAAAAACAGGGTTCACTATTCAGCATGGTTCAGAGGGTGAGCAAAGGATTCTCTATATCGACAAGAAAGGCGATGCTTAACTGCTTAATCTGCTGAAGACTGTAAATTTGAATGTGACTGTTGGAACTGTGCGTGTGGGGAAACAAAAGATTAAACTCAGTGCAGGACAAATTACCACAATTTATGCACAAGCGCACATTGGGGGACAATCCCAAGAACAAAGTCTGCTGTTTGTTCCATGTAAACCATCAATGTTATCAGAGGGCCTGGAAATACAGGAAGGTGTTATCAGAGTTGGAGATGGGAAGACTGTAAGAGTACCAATTGCCATTGCTAATACAGCAAAATACCCAGTCACACATGCCCCAACTCAGACTAGGCCAACTGGAACTAATAAAGACATTTTACCCAGTGACAGTAGATCTTCTGAACCATGAAGAATACCACCAAGGATTTCTTGATGCTGAAAGTCAACCACTAACAGCCTTTATAACACCCTGGGGATTATTTGAGTGGAAGAGGATCCCGCTTGGCCTTAGCTCAGCTCCAGCCGAATTCCACAGAAACATGGAGGGTTGTCTGGAGGATTTGCGTGATGTGATATGTCAGCTGTACTTGGATGATAATCTGGTTCACAGTGCCTCCTTTGATGATCACTTGAGTCATATTCGCACACTCCTCCAGAGATATCAAAACCATGGAGTTAAACTCAGTCCGCACAAGTGTGTGCAAGGGAGCAGTCCTTTATCAGAAGCAGAAAGGGAAGATGTCAGTGATTGCATATGGGTCAAGAACACTCAAACCACCTGAGAAAAACTATTACATGCATTTTGGAAAATTTGAGTTTCTGGCTCTTAAGTGGGCTATCTGTGAACGCTTCAGAGATTATGTTTCATGCTCCACACTTTGAAGTGTACACAGACAATAATCCACTCACATACATTTTGACAACAGCCAAACTTAATGCAACGGGACACCACTGGGTTGCAGAGCTGACCGATTTCAATTTTACCATCAAATATCGGCCAGGGAGATGTAATACAGATGCAGATGGATTGTCAATAATGCCACTGGACATTTCCAGGTACATGAAACTGTGCACAGAGGAAACAAACCAAATGTGATAAGTGCTACCATGCAGGGAGTTATGTTGATGTTTGAGGATACTTCTCTGTGGACAAGTGGAATTGACTTACAAGCTGTCCATCTGGTAGAAGATGAAATCCCACTAATCTGTGTCTCTCTCAGGAACAGATCAGGCAGTCCCAACAGGAAGATCCTGTCATTAGCCGTGTCCTGGAGTACAAAAAGAGTAACGTTCGTCCTTTTGGTCATAGACTAAGAAAAGAATTGTATGATGTCAGACTCCTGCTGAAACAGTGGACACGTCTGCGCATGAGTGATGATGGAGTCTTGTATAGGAAAGCAGGAAATACAAACCAGTTAATTCTACCCAAGGAGTACCATCAGACAGTTTACAAGGAGTTGCATCAGGAGATGGGACATCTCGGAACGGAGAGGACTCTCAATTTAATCAGTGAACGATTTTATTGGCCCAATATGAAAAGAGAGACAGAGCACTTTGTGACACTTGTATGTGAGTGTTTGAAAAGAAAGAAACCACACAAGACTACTATTTTATTAGCCTATTTGCTCTTAAAATAGGACAACAGACACAATTAACAACAAAATATTTATTGGTCAAATAAACATCAACAAAAAAAAAAAAAAAGCATCAGCTTAGTTTTTTTCAGCTATGCGTCTGTCATCACCAGACCGTCCAGGTGCATGTTTGAGGTGGTCTCCCACGGCCCTGTAAATTATGTGGTCTGTGGCTGTTTTGTCCCACATTTGCAGCTGCAATGACAAAAAAAAAAAAAGCTCTCAGCTGTTTCTGTTATTGCGTGCATCCGTACGATCACAGGCTTTGTTATTTTTACAAAGTCTTGTCTTTAAATTAACGTAAAATTCAAACAATAAATGCTGTTTTGACTACATTAAACGCACATTTATAATATTTTTTTTATTTTTAAGTGGACAGAGATGGCAAAAGTACACACATACAAACGACTCTGGTAAAAATTGAAGTACTGACTTTTGTATTTAAAATAAATATGGCCTCAAACACGTAATAAAACGTATCCATGACCTGTTTTAGTTTCACAGTAACTAGACCTCACATTAATACATTTATACAAAGTAACATACATTTCTAATTTTGATGTTAACAGTTGCCAATTGCCAAGCATACAACTCAAAAAGTCACTTTATCATATAAACTGTATGTGCGTCTTTTAAGAACGGCTGCCATTTGTGTGTACATTTTATTCTATAAAAAAAACTTTTTGGGTAATCTTTTTCCACGTGACAATTTCCTGATCTTTGCATTATAATTTGATCTATAAATTACCTGCAATTCGATCGAATAAACGCATCTTTTTAACCGGTGTAAACAGGACAGCATCAGTCATGATTACATCGCTGACTCTCTGTTGTAATGCAATCATGTAATTAGCCATTTTGCCTTTATAAACCAGCCTGCATCATCATAAGTTAAAACATAAATTGAAAAGCTATGTTGGTGGAACAATTGTTTTGCGAGGGAACATTGCGAGGTAACGCAAAAGCTAAAAAAAAAAAAAAACTAACAATAAATAAACATACATATATATATATATATACACACACACACACACATATACATATACATATATATATATATATATATATATATATATATATATATATATATATATATATATATTTTATTTTTTTTTTCCCACAGTTTTTTTTTTCTCCCACCCATTTTCCCCACCACTTTCCTTCCTGGACACCATATGTGTGATGATGTGATATGTCATTGTGCAATTTTAAAGCCTTTTTGTTTCAATCTAGTTTTACTGCGTCTATTTTTATTGCAGGCACGCACTAAAGATTTAATCAAAAAGGCTTTAAAATTGTGCAATGACAGCGAATATATCGCATCCCCAAACACATTAAAAATGGGTGGGAGAAAAAACTGGGTTGGAGGAAAATATATACATATTTTTTGTTTTTGCGTTACCTCGCAAAGTTCCCTGGTTCCCTCCCAAAACTGTTGTTCCACAAACACTGCCTGTTCATTTTATATTTTAAAAATATATGTAATTTTAGGTAAATTCCAAGCATGAATCCAGAGTACGCTTAAATATTATATTAATTATATTATATTGTTTATATTAATTATTTAATATTTTAATAATTATATTGTATTATATTATATTAACTGTATTATATTATATGAATTACATTGTATTAAATGTATTATATTATATTGCATTATATTATATTGCATTACATTGTATTATACAACCGAATTTAACAAAAACTACAAAGTTCATTGTCCATCTGATGCGCGATTTTAGTGTTGAAAATATTAAGTTCGGAAAGCCTGTCTGGCTCATTGTAATAAAAGACTTGATTAAACAAATTAAAGTGAAGCTGCTCTGGCACAATAATAGATGGTTTTGACATTTACAGCAAAACCTGTAAAAGAGCCGTAATACCGGCCAAAACAAATTGATGAATTCACAACATAATTATAAAGCCCATAAAACTGTCAAAGTAATACCAGAACATACTTATTATGGTGGCGTACAGGGCTGTGGACTGGAAACCCTTTTTTGACCCATGGCCCTTCATATTAAACTCCGACATGAGTCTGTTGGTCATCAGCCTGAAAGAGAAAGATGTTTATTTGCATGGCCCTTTATCATAGTGAAAAAAACTAATCTATAGGAACTTTCTTATATTGGTTAAATAGAAATATATATTCTGTTCTGTATTTGCAGCACAGCGCAGTCATGACTATTTGTATACTGTCATCACTGCTTTGTGCATGTGCCAGGAACACATTTTCAATTTGTTCAATGTACAAAAATATTTACAGCTAATTTTACTGCACTAACAATACTGCGTTGTTGTGAACCCAGAGTGGGCCCACTAGGAGGCGTGGGAGGCCTGAACACCACAAAAAAAAAAAAAAATGGCAAAAATCCAAAACACAATGGCCTGACCCGGACGTGTAAAAAAAAGGTGGTATTTATTAAAAAAATCTGGAGGATAAAGTCCAGTGCAAGAAATATAAATACAGCTCCAAAATATTGTACAAAAATATATATACAAAAATACAAAGGATCAAACCAACAAATCAAATATAAAGATAAATATATATAACACAAAAAAAAAAACAAATCAAAGGAAAAAAAGTCAAACGTAACCACTGTATACTAGTACCCACTTAAAAGAATTGCTCACCGCTCTGCCACAGCACACTCGCTTGCCAGTTAAACTGACCCTGAGCTTCTTCTTCTTTGGGTTTTACTGGCGGACTTAAAGGTGCATTACCGCCACCGACTGGAATGGAGTATGGAACTAGTTGAATAATAACTGAAGTGGGGAGGAAAAAAAAAATAGGGGAGGGGGAGGAAATATTGAGGAGAGGGGGGGAGAGGAATAAAAAATAAAATAAAAAATAATAACACATAATAAAAATAATAACACATAAATAAAAACACATTTATAATAATGGGGGATGGGATGGCTAATAATTCATTCTTTTGATATTATCTCTATATTCTTTTCTTTAACTGGGTTTCTTTAATAAATTTAATTATATCGTCATATACCTCACAAGATTTATTTCCTAATAAACCTGCCAATGTGAAATCCTGAAGTTTGCTCTTTAACTAATTGAATAAGATAGTTTCGCTCTTTATTATATTTACTACAGTGGAATAAAACATGTTCTATTGTTTCTTGTTGATTACAGTGTATACATTGCCTAGTTGTTAGTTTACCTATTTTATGTAAAGTATGGTTGAGTCCAGTATTACCTATTCTCATCTGAGTTATAATACTTCCTTCCCTACAATTACTGTTCTCCCTCCTCCCAGCACCGATTTACCGATTATGTAAATTATATAGATGTCTACCTGTATCAATGTTATCATACTGATTGTGCATACGTTCTTATCATGATTTTAGCTTCTGCTTTACTCAATGGGACTTCTAGACTTACTTCACTAATTCTGAGAGCTTGTTTGGCCAGCATGTCCACCTTTTCATTTCCTTCCACACCTACGTGAGCGGGAACCCACATGAAAAATACAGATATGCCCATCATTTTAATATAATATGTCTTACAGAGTATATTAAGAATATCCATTCTGAATGATGACCTTCCAGATCTTATACTTTAAAGTGATGAAAAACTGATGCAATTACTACATTATATATGTCATTTTCCTTAATCTACTGCAGGCCAATTAATATTGCAATTAACTCTGTTGTATATACTGATATATTATTAGTTATTCTTTTCTTAATATGAGATTAATTAACTGGGATATATACTGCTGCGCCTGTATGACCTGTTTGTGGGTCTTTGGATCCATCTGTAAATAAAAATATTGATTCTTTATAATGTTTCTCTAAATAATTCTGGACTATACATTTTGTTGGAAGATTATTATTGTTATCTTTTAACTCCTGTTGTATACTGAGGTCAACATTAAAAAACCATGGCGGAATATATGGGGTTGGGACTGACTTACAGTATTGCAATTGATCTAATCCAATAATTCTGGCTTTTGTCTCAGCTATCCAAGCAAAACTTATGAAATTAGTTTCCTCATGCTCCTAACATTCTAATAATGTACTTTTTGTAGGATGTAATTCAATTTGTCCCTGAATGTTAACCCAATATACCATCATTTATTTCATTCTTCAAATGCTTAATAGCATTTCTCCCATTTCAACCTGTATAGATGAGGTTCTAAATGATCCACTACAGATTCTGAGGGCCGGCTCCAGCAACACATCTAATGTCTTGAGGTTTTTTCTGCTGCCGACATGTAAGCTATACACCAATAATCAAGGACAGACCTCATGAGGGCCCAGTATATATTTTGTATTGATTTCCTACTCACTCCCCACTCTTGCCCTGACAACAAAGTACATTAATAACCTTTTTACCTTTGTCTATGATTTTATTCAGATGAGTCTTCCATGTCAGCTTTTCATCTAACCAAACCCCAAGAAACCTTACAGTTTTTACTTGCTCTGGTTGCCCATACAGTTTTAAAGAAAGTGATATGGTTTTTTGCTGTCTTGAGAAACAATTTACCTGAGTTTTTGCAACAGATAGTTTTAATCCCCATTTATTTGCCCATTTTCTACCTTAAATACTGCATTCTGTACTTTCTTTTGAACAAATGACACATTCTGGCCTCTTATCCATAATGCCCCATCATCTGCATACAACGATTTTCCTACACTTTGTTCAACCTGAAAGAACATGTCATTTATCATTATATTGAACAACAATGGGCTGCAAACACTACCTTAAGGAGTTCCAAGCCTCTTTGGAGAGATTAACTAAACTATGAATATTTTTGTATTGTTGGACTAATAGTTCAGACTTTTTGTAGGTTGTTGACTGCTACTATATCGCCACACTTTAACACTTGTAATTCATAACTCATTCTAACACTAGCCATTCTTCTAATCATACCCCACACCTCTGATAATTGTACTTCTCATCCAAGACTACTGCAATATTCTCTCCACCATATATGCTTTTGTACTTTAATAGTTTTCCTTAATATTGCCTGAGTCTTTTTAAACAGGATCAGAGCTTAATGTGAATACTTTATTTCTTGCTTTTATAGCTACTTTACAATCATTATTCCACCATGGTGCATTTTTAGTACATTCAACTCCTTTACTTTTAGGTATCACTTCCTCAGCTAATTGAATTATTCCATTAACAATTTTATTATTAAATGTTTACATCTATCTGGTTTATTACTTGTATTGTCATAATTCTCTTTTCACATAATTCTTGCAATTCTTTCCAATTTACTTTCTCCAGTTTCCATCTTGGAATTCTCTCTTCTTTTTCATACATTATCTTTATTCCTATTTTAGTTACTACTGGGTAATGGTCGCTACCTACTGTTTTGTGCTTGAGAACTGTCCATGTGCAATTAAGCTTCTAGCATTCCATTGTTGAATGATTACCATTTAAGATGTCCCTCGCCCAGGCTGGGATGATTGTGTCTCTTCATTTAGGATGTCCCTAACTGTATCCCAGAGCAGATCCTTCACATCCAAGTATTTTTCTGCTGATTTGACTATTATTTTAATCCTTTCGTTCCTACATTTTGTTTGAGCTGAACAGATTGTTATCTCTGCCATGAGTAGTACAAAATATTTTTTTCTCACTATCAGAGTTTCCGCTTTCAGATGTTCACATTTTCGACATGTCTCTGCATTTTTGTTCCTGCTTTCATTTTGTTTAGACACAGTCAGAATTTCTGGAAGCTTCTTTGCTGCTTGCGCATAACTAATTCCTTGAATAGTTTTGACTTTGTTCTCCTGCCTGCCTTTTCTCTAATCTCTTGTCTTTTTCTAATCTCACATCCTCGTTACGCTGAGCTATGTTCCCTTCCGCAGTAACAACATCTCAGCTTTGCACCTTCTTCACATTTTCCACTTACTGTTGCAGTCATGACTTATTGATACATTTCTCCCTCGTTTTCTACTTTACGCAACATATTTGCTATCTTTCTTACATACACAGACACATATATTCAGTACTTGGAGTTGATCAAAATCTTAACTCTTGAGCATTTTAAGACAGTAAAATATTTAATTTTTTTTTTATTCATTGTTTAAAGCTAAAAATCTCAACATTATAAAAGGTATAACAAATAATCTGATGGATGTTTTGAGGTGAAACATTACAGACACATTCTAGAGACATAAACTTATTTTAAATCCTGAAAAGGGGGTAAAATAGGTGCCCTTTAGATAAAAAGCACCCATTACTACTACATGTTTTAGTTCCTTTAGCTGGGTCATTATCACTATAAAATGCCTTTGATATCTCACAAGATTGAATCAGTCCTATATGGACAAAATGCGAAATAATTAAACTCTGATGTTTTGATATAGTTGGTTAAACTTCTACACACATGCAAGTAGAAATAAAAGTGTTTTGAAATATGTTTTTGTCAATTTATGCCATTTTCTTTCATTGAATGGATGTGATTTTGACATGTTCACACACTGCTCAGCCAACTTCAGTGAGTCTAAAAAGTCGGTAAATTTGATCAAATTAAAAAAGATTTTTAAATATTTTATAACTTTTTTTTCTTTTAATAATATCATTAATCATTTTGCATGTGTCCTTGAAATTGCACACTTATGTTTGCTATTTTTCCTCATACTGTGTTTGAAACTGAATTTTGTCAAGCTTAACATGTCCACCTTGTCATAGTGAAATATTAATTATTATAAACATTTCTGATTTTCTGAAAATTCTAAAATTAAAACTGGGGTGAAATTAAAATTAAATTTATCCTCTGAATCAAATCTTTTGCATACTAATCAGTTAAGTATCAATAGTGTGAAAATATAGACAATAAATTTAATTGTTACATTAAAAAGTTATGCAGTACCACATCTTTTTGGAATTCCTTATTTGAGCAAATTGAATGGAAAAAAGATTGGAACTTACCTAGTAAATTCTGTCTCACCAATAAAGTTAAAGAAGTGACATATAAACTAATACATTTAATTTATCCAGTGAAAGAAGTGGTTAAAAATTTTTTTAGAGACATGGAATCTACATGATTCCTATGTGGAGGAGAAATCGATTAAACATCTATTTTTTGAATGCACATGTACACAAATGTTTTGGTTTGATGTTGAATATCTTATATTTAAACTTACAAAATTAAAAATAAAACAAAAAATTTAAAAAAACTTAAAAATTTAAAACTCTTTACAAAATTTAAAAAGTTTTCTTGTCAAGATATTCATTTGATTTATAACAATAAATGTAATACAACTTTAGAGCAAAATTTGTTAATTAATTTAATGATAATATATGGGAAGTACCATGTACACAAAAAAAAATGGTCCAAAGCCTAAAATTCATTTGTCTAAAATTGATTTTAAAGGGCACCTATGCTAAATAATCTACTTTTCAAGCTGTTTGGACAGCTTGAAAAGTAGATTACATGTGTGCAAGAATAGTGTATAGATCGAATTATTGGGGAGATATAAACTAACCCAGTGCTTTTCAATTTAACAACATAAAAACGGTGGACCAATTGGAGCGATTTTCAGAGCGACCGCAACTTGACGTAGGAGTGCGGTCCCCCCGCCCACCAATATTGATTGACAGGCTAGCGTCACCTAATCCTCAGTTTGTCGTTTCACATCTGCCATTTTTAGCGAAAGTCAAAGCGAAATCACTAAAGGAACGCCCTTGCTCTATTTTAAGATGTAAGGCTCATTAGGCTCAACACAAGAACAATATTCTCCACATTATCGCTCTAATCGGAATTATTGGTTGTACCTTGAGGTTATTTTTGCAAGCATG